AAAATAGCCCCAAAAAATGATAAAAAAAAGTAAAACGTTGTGGTAAAGCCCCTGGCCCGCGTAGTGGGGCGCCCAGGGGCCGGGATGGGTCAAAAATTTACATTTTTATTTATGTTTTGCATTCTAAAATTAATGTAGAATTTTTAGGAATTAATGCAACAAACGACACCATTGTTTGATGAATGTTCTATTTTTTATGATTTTCTTTATTTTTCGTCTTTGAAAAATAAAACAAAATAAAAATGATGGCAAAATGTTTTGAAATTTTGCAGACACGATCCTTACGGCCCTATTTGTTTCCGTTTTCATTTCCATTTTTCAAGTTTTTCGAGACTAAAAAATGAAAACGGAAACATAAAATGCGTTTGGCCTAAAATTTTTTTAAAAACGAAAACAAAATTGTTTTTGTCTTTTGTGAAAAATTGAAAACGAAAAAAAGGTATTTTCATTTTCTCGTTTTCGTTTTCTGAAAACGGATTTCTTTTTTTTTTTTCATTTTCTTCTCTATCTTTTCTGAAACCGTTTTTGTCTTATATAATGATGTTTATTTAATATATTTAATTATATTATTTATTTAATATATTATTATTTGTTTTCATTTCTATTTTCATATAGAAAACAAAAACATTTTGGAATCAATTCCAAACGCACCCTACATTTTTCTGGGCATGCTTACGAAAAATGGGCACCCTCGGGGCAACCCCGGGATACCCCTGGGGCACTGCTGGGACACTCCCGGGGCACCCCCGGGACACCCCCGGGGCACCTTCGGGACACCCTAGGGACACCTCTAGGAGACCCCCAAGGCACCCCCGGGGCGCCCCCTGGGCAGCCCCGGTACATGCCAGGACACCCTCGGGACACCTCCGGGGCGCCCTCAGGGCACCCCCAAGGTGCCCTCAAGGCACCCTTGAGGCGCCGATGGGGCATCCCCGGGGAATGCCCATAGAAAAATAGCCCCAAAAAATGATAAAAAAAGTAAAACGCTGTCAAAAAGCCCCCGGCCCACGTAGTGGGGTGCCCAGGGGCCGGGACATGTCAAAAATATACATTTTTATTTATGTTTTACATTCTAAAATTAATGTACGATTTTTAGGAATTAATGCAACAAACGGCACCTTTTTTGATGAATATTCTGTTTTTCATGATTTTCTTTATTTTTCATATTTGAAAAATAAAATAAAATAAAAGCAACAACAAAAAATTATGAAATTATGCAGATACGATCCATAAATTTTTTTGGGCTTGCTTGCAAGAAATGGCCACAAAAAATAGAAAAAAAGTAAAACGCGGTCAAAAAGCCCCTGACCCGCGTAGTGGGGCTCCTAAGGGCCAGGATGGGTAAAAAATTTATACTTTTATTTATCTTTTGTATTCCAAAATTAATATACGATTTTTAGGAATAAATGCAACAAACGACACCATTGTTTGATGAATGTTCTATTTTTTATGATTTTCTTTATTTTTCATCTTTGAACAATAAAACAAAATAAAAATGATGTCAAAAAGATTTGAAATTTTGCTGACACGATCCTTACATTTTTTTAGGCATGCTTGCAAAAAATGGGCACCCCCAGGACACCCCCGAAACACCCCCGGGACAGACCTGTCCCGGGGCTGTCCCGGAGTCCCGGGGGTCCCAGGGGTCCTGGGGATGTCCCGGGGGTCCTAGAGGTGTTCCGGCGGAGTCCTGGTGGTCCCAAGGGTCCCAGGGGTCCCAGGTGTACTGGGGTGTCCCGGGGTTCCCGGGGATATCCCAGGGGCCCCCGGGAGTGTCCCGGGGATCCTGGGGGTGTCCCGGGAATCTCGCGGGTCCCGGGGGGTCCCAGGGGTATCCCGGAGGTGTCCCGAGGGTCCCTGGGGTCCTGGGGGTGTCCCGGGGTTCCTGGGGGTACCGGGGATCCCAGGGGTCTCGGGGGTGTCCCGTGGGTCCCGAGGACCCCGTGGGTCCTTGTGGTGTCCCGGGGGTCCCGAGGGAGTCCCAGGGGCCCGGGGGTCCAGCGGGGGGGTTCCAGGCGTTCCGGGGGTTCGGGGGTTCCGAGGGTCGACGTCAAAAGGTTATGAAATTTCACAGACGCAATCCTTACATTTTTCTGAACATGCCTGCATAAAATGACCTTGAATTATGAAAAAAGAAAATGCTGCCAAAAAGCACCTAGCTCGCACAATCGTTCGTCCATGGGCCATGATGAGTAAAAAATTAACATTTTTATTTTTGTTTCACATTCTAAAATTAATATATAATTTTTAAGAATTAATGCAATAAGCGACACCATTATTTGATAAATATTCTATTTTTCATGATTTTTTCTATTTTTCTTCTTATGAAGGTTCATCTTAATATGTGATTACATCATCTAACACCTCTTATAATAACTAAATATCAACATCTCCTTTTATAAAAAAAACAAAATTTACATGTATGAAATTTCCAAATCACCCTTAATAAAGGCGAAAATAAATCCACGAATTCTTCTCAATAAGACAATATTAATGGTCAAGGTGTAACTAAATTGCACAACTCAACAAAATACACTTAAGTAGTCGTCCAACAGGAGAAAAAAAGAAGCAGCTTAACTCGTGCGCATCTTTCTGTCCCTACAACTTCCCATAGTGGCGGAGACAGATCGGAAATCACGGCCCGTCAGGGCCCACTTGCGCCAACGTGTTGTGATTCCCATGAGCCTAACGGGCCTAGCCCACCCCCACGTCGCTTCACTACCGCCCCGTCAAATTCCATTCCATCAATCAAATCCTGCCTATAATCTCGCGGCTCACATCCACTGATCTTTTACCCTCCATGTTTGTTGTTTTCTTCTTTCACTTGAACCATCCCGTTTTCTTAGGGCCCGTTTGGTTTGTTAATTTGAGTTAAAATGTGATTTTATGTGAAAATTATTAACTGTAGTAAAAAAATTAGATGTGACTATTTCTGAGAACTTTTTACTGTAGCAAAACTCAAATTCTAAACTCGAATAAGCGAAATGAACGGGGCCTTATATACGTGAGTTTCTTCTAATTTAAACACTAAGGGTGCGTTTTGTTCATGTATTATAACCATGTGATTAGAACCATTTTTAATTTACGTGTATTTTTTATGAGAGAAAATACTGTAACAAATCACGAACCATTATTCGAATCAGGGAACGAATCCATCTACCAAACATCACCTAAGTTCTAATAATTAGTACATGATACCTCGCTTACAATCATACATTACAAGACAATAAAACAATCTAATATACACATAAACAAGACAATAAAACAATCTAATATACACATAAACAAGACAATAAAACAATCTAATATACACATAAATTTTCTTTTAATTCGTACACTACCTTAGTTCTAATATGATTAGATAAGATAGTGACTCATGAGGGAAAAAAAAATGATCGTGAAAACACACATTGAACACAACCCTGTGCCCATTATAAACAATTCACCTCATTAACCTCCCACAAGTACATCTTCCTAAAACAAGCCACAAAAAAAAATCAAAATTTTCTGAAGATAATAATAATAATAATAATAGCACTTCTATTCATTTTTTAGAATAAATTCATAACAGGTCCCTCAATTCTTTTTCTCTCTCTAGAATTAGTCGCTATAATTAAATTTATTTCATAAATAGTCCTTAAATTGAAAAAGTCCCTCATAAATAGTCCATCAGTTAAATTTTTAAATGAAAACTGTATATTAAAGGGTAGTTATGATTTTTTTTGGTTATTTTTGGGTTATTTCTTTTTTTTTGCCTTTATTTATTTATTTAATTATTTATGTTATGAAATAGCTAAACTATTTTTCATTAAGTAGATAGAATTTAAACTCTTTCTTCTTAACATTGGAATTATTGTGAGGGACTATTATCATTGTTTTTTTTTTTTTCTAAATTTATGAATATTTCGACCTCCACTTTATTCTTTTCAATTGAAAAAAAAAAAATGCACTACAAAAGAATGCCGCTCTCTTTATTAGTAAATTATTCTATCTTAATACTTGATATAATTAATAAGCGGTCATATTTTAATTTGACCATAATGCATTTACCAAAAAAAAAAAAAAATGAAGAAGAAGAAGAAGAAGAAGAAGACCATAATGCACAATACATGGAGTAGAAGAAGTTCCAAAACAAAAGGAAAAACCATCAATTGCAATTACGCACACTAATACAAGTGCATGAGAAAAGAGATAAGAGTATATATATACTATATAATGCTTGTACAATTGAAATAATAATAATAATTTTCAGAATAATTGTCTTAGCTGTGTAAGAGGTGTTGCATCCGTTTAAAAACGTAACTTCATTAGGATAAAATTTGATTCAAACGACAAAAGTAACAATTTAGAGATTAATTGTAGAGAAAAATATTAATAACAAATTTTAGAAGTAAAAAAACATTTAGACAAAAGTGTAAAATAAAATAACTTAAAACTCATAACCACCATTCAATTTAATAGTTTCCATCTAAAATTTTAACATAGAGACTATTTATAAGATATTTTTTCAGTTGAAAGATTATTTATGAGATAAATTTAACTACATACACTAATTTTTAAAGGGAGAAAAAAATTGAGACTTTTCATGAATTTATTCATTTTTTTAATACTTCTAAATGAAACTACGCGCTCACAAAAAATAGTAGACGTTGGATAGAGTAAGACCCACCTCAATGGACCATTATTATATAAGTGATGCACATTAGGGTGAATCCCAATTGCCTAATAATAATTATTCCCTTTGTTTTTTTTTTTTTTTTAAAGAGTTGGTATTTTTTTTTATAAGCAGTTGGTATTTTCGCCTCTTTCGTTTTGCTGATTTGAGTTTAGAATTTGAGTTTTGTTACAATAAAAAATTCTCAATCATATTTAATTTTTTTATTATAGTAAAAAATTCTCACATAAAATCACATCTTAATTTAAATTTTAAATTCGAATTAGCAAAATAAAAGCGGGTGTGCGTTGATGAGATTCTTCGTTCATCGTGATTGAGTGAGAGAGTGATGATGATAATGGTGAGAGGAGAGGCCAAAGCCAAACGCCGAAACGCTTTTGAAGATCCAACAATGCCACGCACACCTTATTAGTTACCTTTATCACTTTCTTTTTCCCCTTTCTCAAGCTTTTCATTTTTACCCCAAAATTCCCCCTTAATTACGCCACAAACCCACTCTCGCCATTTCCTTTTCATCTTCATCAAATTCCCGATTCCCGACCTCCTACTTCCGCCGGATCGGAGCTGAATCCGGCGACGTTTCCCGCTTCATCTTTTCGATTTTCGTTCGGATTTTCGACTTTTTTTTTTGGATTCCGAGCACTGAATTTGGACTTTGTGGCGATTTGGGACCAGAAAGTGGGAATTTTGGTTGGCTTTGCATGTGGAAGCTTTAAGGGGGTCCTCTGCTCAGCTGTGGAGGATCCCTGTAAAGAAATTCGTGCTCTTCAAGTGTGGATAGAGCTAGAGTTTCGAATTTTGCGTTTTGAGAATCGATTTCGCGGTTTCGGAGATAACAATTTGGTGGGAGATGTTTGGTGGTTCTGGTGCGGAATCAGGACATGAGAGCAGTGGCGGACATGCTGGATCGATTTTGATTCCGACGAGATTTGTTTGGCCTTATGGTGGAAGGAGGGTGTTCCTCAGTGGTTCCTTTACAAGGTGATAAACATGAACTTTGGACTTAATTGATAAGTTTATGAATCAAATGTCACTAATTTGAACTTTTTTTGTGTGTGTGTTTAGGAGTAATTCTTGCCACTTTCTGGTCAAAGCTCAGTATTTATTTGATTGATTTATAGTAGATTTGTGATGTGGCTTTAGATCCATTTTTGTGTGCACAGATGGTCAGAACATATTCCCATGTCTCCAGTTGAGGGATGCCCAACTGTGTTTCAGGTTGTTTGGAACCTGTCTCCGGGATATCATCAGGTTAAGGAATGCCTATGATTGACAACTGTTTAAACTTGGATCATTTTAGAAAAACGTAATCTCCATAATAGTTTTCCATGGCAGCTTTGACCACTTGCTATGTTTGTGTATTGGGAAATTTGATTGTAGACGTAATTTTGTTTGGTTTTAAGATGTGTTCCGTCCATGTAATGCAGTATAAATTTTACGTCGATGGAGAGTGGCGGCACGATGAGCAACAGCAATTTGTAAGTGGGAATTATGGCGTTGTGAACACTATCTTTTTGTCTGGAGAGCCAGACATGGTTCCTAACGTTTTCCCTCCTGAAGCACCTGATAGAGCCAACATGGATGTGGATAATGATGTCTATATGCCCATGGTAAGATTTTTTGCCTCTTTAAACTGGTTTATTTCCTTGCTGGTTTTTGTTGTTGTGGCATCTATGTCAGAACATATCCCAGAACGACTCAACTACTCCTAATAAGGAGAATGAGAAGCCTAACAATTGCCAAGCTCCCAGATGATGCTGAGTTAATGTTTTCTAATAAGTTTGAGTTGGTGCAAAGAGTGCCATTTTAGTTTTTGCTTAAAGAAGCATTAGCACTTTGTTTATGCATGGATCAGTTGGGAAGAGTTTGGAATTGGGATAGAATTACAAATTTGTTAGGAAGAGTAATAAAGATATTCTTAGGGCATCACCAAGCCTTTTATTTGGTGCGTGTGATTGGAGAGCACATAAGAGCTTTTAAGGTGTGGAATGCTAGTAAAGATTAAGTTTTTGAGAGGCTTGAGTAAGTGCTAGAAAGGTGATTATTGCTTAATTTGTTCTAAATTGTATCTTATTGCAGTTGAATTGCACCATAGGGCACCACTATAGATGAAGTTTTATCCACACATTCCCTATAATGTAACAAGACATTTTTGTTATTAACAGTTTGTTTAATTCAGATCATTAGGTCTGGCAACTTTTGGATAAGGATAGAATGGCAAAATGGTGATTTGCAAACAGGGTTACTGTTAATTTGCTGCTGAACTGTCTTCAATGTAAATTGGAAATTCCTATGAGATTTTACAATAGAGTTTATACTTAAATAGGCGAGCAGAAGGTATGGAAAAAGAGACTATATATTTCCGTGAAAAGAATGATTTACAGTTCTTTAGTTAAATAGAAAATACAAGGAGCTAAAATAGGAAACTACAGGCTGTACACTAACAAAATTTCCTAATTTTTAGTTACTGACTATCTATATTTACACGCCTAATATCCCCTAAAATATGGTTCTATTGAAACCAAATATCTCCTAATTCAACACTCCCCCTCAAGCTGGCTTGTAAATGTCTTCCATGGCTAGCTTGCTCCTTAAAACTTCAAACTGTCTCTTGTGTAGTCCTTTGGTAAGGATGTCTGCAGCTTGTTCAGTAGTAGAGACATAGGGAATGCAATACCATAGTCAAGCTTCTCTTTGATAAAGTGTTTGTCAACTTCCACATGTTTGGTTTTTTCGTGAAGGACTGGATTATAAGCAATTGAAATGGCAGCCTTGTTGTCACAGTAGACTCTCATGGGAGGAGAAACAATAACCTTCAAATCTTTAAGGAGTCTTTTTAACCTTCAAAACTGGCATTTCCACCCGACGAGTTCGGAATTCCGCACAAACTCCTCCTTCTCGTTGCAAATCATCTCTCGGCGCCGGCGGAGGTGCTGCCGTTCCTTCTGCGGCCCACGGTGGCTCCAGATTGGCCGATTCCCGCTGCCTCATCAATACATCCAGTCTCTCGAGCAACATCTCCATTCCTTGCTCAAGCCTAGGTATTTTCTTCAAATCCTCTCGGATTCCTTCCAATTCTTTCTGGAATTCTTCTCTAGTCCCCTCCGTCTTCTCCTTCTCGTGATCGTTGGTACGTCTCGTCATTCCCAGATCGTGCTCTGATACCAAATGATAAACTCCAGACCAAATAAGCAATAGAGATGACAAACCGGAAGGAAATTGCTAACAGTAAGCTTTAATTACTATCAATGGCGGAAATTGAATGCAAAAAAGGGTATGAGGATATTCGAGAGATCCCTTGCTCTCCTAAACTATCTTCTTGTAGAAGTTTCACAAACTGAATAATCCTCCCTTATTCTACCTCTGTCATATTTATCCCTTAATCCCTCATCACTCCCAAAGCCTAACTGACTACTAACTACTTGCTGACTTAGCCCCTAACGCACGGGAGGCTTATCAATATATAATTAGAATTGATGTCTTCTTCCATAGAATTAACCAACCAGGTCATCACCATCGAATTCTCTGCATCCCAGGTCGATTAAGAAGGATGTTCAAGTTTCTGTTCCTTCTTTTCTCCCTTCAGATAGCCGATTTTGCTTCTACCTTGGATGTACATCTGCATGGATTGGGCCCAGCGAAGGAAGTTCTCACCTTTTAGCCGAATTGTGGTAATTTGGACAGAGTGTGTCTCAGAGTTTTGGACTTGGGACTCAAAGGCTTTGGTCTGGCTAACAGAGGAGTTGGGGGACTCATATACAACATTAGACATGGTGACTAGGGTTGTTTGAAAGAAAGGACGGCTAGGGTGTTTTGTGTTTTTTGTTTTTTCGTTTTTTTTGTTTTTTTGCTTCAGAAGAATTAATAAATGCTTTGATACCATGTTAGTTTACCAATCCATCCCAAAAGCTTAAGCTATTAGGAGGTGGGCCAACAATAGTTTTATACTTTAGCATTCCCCCTCACATGTGGACTGGACAATGGGCAATGGTGTAGGTAAATTAATTGGAAAGCTCAACACGTGACCATTTGATAATAAGCCCGAAATATATTTAAAGCAACACGTGACGACAATTTAAATGGGGAATAAAGAGTGCAATTACAGGGGTTTGAACTCAGGATCTCCCGTTCTGATACCAAATAGGGGAGCAGAAGGTATGGAAAAAGAGACTGTATATTGCCGTGAAAAGAATGATTTACAGTGCTTTAGTTAAATAGAAAATACAAGGAGCTAAAATAGGAAGCTACAGGCTGTACACTAACAAAATTTCCTAATTTTTAGTTATTGACTATCTATATTTACGGCGCATATCCCCTAAAATCTGGTTCTATTGAAACCAAATATCTCCTAATTCAACATACTTCAACTTAGTACTTGCTAGATGTTATCTTGCATCACAAACAAGGTATCTTGCCTGGTGATGTTTTGCTTTTGCAGGAAGCAATTCCACAGGCATCGGAGTCTGATATAGAGATCTCTCGGCATCGTATATCTGCATTTTTGTCCACACATACGGCTTACGAGTTGCTTCCTGAGTCAGGCAAGGTTTGAATGCTCAATCCTCATCAACTATTTATTTATAAGTTTATTGAATTGAGTTTCAGCAGTAATGTGCTTAAGCTCATAGTTCTGTGAACATTGCAGGTCATTGCCTTTGATATTAATATGCCAGTAAAGCAAGCATTCCATATCCTATATGAGCAGGTAGATCTCTTCTATGTACAAAGTCTTAATAGATAGGGTCAATGAGTCAGAGAGGGAGGGGGAGAGTCGAACTTATATTTTCTTTTTCTCTTCCTCAGTGTATTCTTGCTAACGCAAGTTACTTTCAGGGCATTCCTGTGGCTCCTCTCTGGAATTCTTACAAGAGCCAGTGTGTTGGAGTTCTCACTGCTTTGGACTTTGTCCTCATTCTAAGAGAGGTTTGTTCAGTGGAACTGCTTTCTTATTTCTTTTAAGTGCTAATCTATGCTGTCATAATTTTAAAGTCAAACCTTCACATACATCAAAATTAAGAAAGCATGAAGTGCAGATTATGATTAAATGGCTACGAAAAGATTGAACTTAACATGCTCCATCGTATGCGTAGTTTTTAGGTTGAGAACTTGAGAGTATGCGTAGTTTTTAGGTTGAGAACTTGAGACTACTGTAATTGGGATGCGTAGTTTTTTTCTATGGTCCATGAACTTAACATGTTCAATCTTCTACCCATTTGCCTCTCTTTTTTTTTTCCTTTTTTATTTGGTGGGAAAAGTTCTTTCCTTGTCATCTCTTCTGGAGCCAATTTATTGAGGAAGACAGATTCTTTATCTTAGCCAAATAGATTTCCAATTTTTCTTGGAAAAACAATAGTCAGAGAAGCTGCTTTAAAGATAATTCATGCTTGTGAGATTAAGAATCTTAATTTCCGATTCCTTACCCTTTTGTTGCACCAATTGCACGTTCATGGCTCAGTTCATGTTTATGAACCAGTTTAGAGCCATAGGCTAGCTCTTCTTATGATGCAACATGGTAATTGATAACTGGCTGATGATTGATAATTGGTTGATCATCCTGCATTTTGCTTTTGCGAGTCTTGGCCCTCTTGGGCGCTTGGACGTTTATGTTGATACTTTATTGTGTCTTCCTCTTTCCTTTCTTTTTCTTTCATTTCAAACTTACACAACGAATGCATGTATGCCAGTTTGTCTTTTTACTCAACTAAGATGTATGATCCTTTCTAGCTTGGGAATCATGGATCAAATTTGACGGAGGAAGAGCTCGAGACTCATACTATAGCAGCTTGGAAAGAGGTAAAATTACATCTTAACGGACAAATGGATGACAGTGGAAGACCTTATCCTCGGCATCTTATCCATGTAAGTTGAAACCTCCAGTGGTTGCATGGATTGCATAGTGAACTAAGTCTAGTTTCTACATTACGTTAGTATAACTACCATATTAGTATATCACGTTTGAAATGTTTTAGGGGTTCTAGCTCAAGTGAAGCAAACTAAACAGCTTCTTTTATTCCTATCCATGCCTTGTAAATTAATGGGAATACTTGGATTTGCTGAGTACAAATATCTAGTAAATAACTTGCAGTCTGGGCCATGTGACTCTCTCAAAGATGTTGCTTTGAAGATATTTCAAAACAAGGTGTCTACAATTCCCATTATCCATTCTTCTTCACGGGATGGTTCATATTTTCAGTCTCAGCTACTACATCTTGCTTCCTTGTCCGGAATACTAAAATGTAAGCAGATTACTTGTTTTCTAGTTTAAAGTATTTGACTTTGTATTAATACATGGCCAAATTTTCAGGTATATGTAGGCATTTTCGACATTCTTCTAGCTCCTTGCCCATTCTTCAACAACCAATTTGTGCAATTCCTTTGGGTACGTGGGTTCCAAAAATTGGGGAGTCTAGTCGACGCCCACTTGCCATGTTGAGACCCAATACCTCTTTGAGTGCTGCCCTATCTTTGTTGGTTCAAGGTGATATTCTTTTATTCCCTATGTTATTTAGGTTTTAAGTTGTGATTCTTTAGAAGTTTAGCCAACTAGCTCTTTTTCCATAATAATTTTCTCACTTTTTTTTTTCCGCATTAGACATGTGTCCACCAGACTACACACATTGCATGGTTTTCTTTGACTACACACATTGCACGGTTTTCTTTCTTTGGTGCTTTGTTTTGGCGTTAGCTTTTTAATTGATCCGGTGAGATGGAGAAATTGTGGAGAGACATGGTGTTTCCTTTTTTTACATTATTGGAAGTTGTTGGGCCCTTGGTCCTTTGGCATCTTTAACCTTACAACAGACTTAGAGAGGACTAAAACTTTACCAGCTCATTTCACCTGTATCAAATTTCCGGCTTCTGCTTATCTTATGCTGCATCTCTCTTGTAGCTGAAGTTAGTTCGGTGCCCATAGTGGATGATAATGATTCATTGCTTGATATTTATTCGCGAAGGTAATGCATTCCATCCACTCTTACCTTGCCTCCTCCTTGATACTATTATACTGCTGGAGCCAAGTTATTTATGTACCTTTATGTCCTTCGCAGTGATATCACTGATTTGGCAAAAGATAAGGCTTATGCACGGATTAGCCTAGACGAAATGAGTATCCATGAGGTAATGGCTAAAATGTTGCTTGCCTAAGTGTATCCCCCTTCATTTTTAGTCGTGATGTTTGCACATTGGCAGTGTGCTTGTTAGCCATGCTTTGGTAGGATAGGGATGCATTTTGTTATCTGGAGGACTTGATTCACAAGTTTTTTATGTTCAGTTTTAACTTGATTTATTTTATTTTATTTTATTTTATTTTATTTTTTGCTGGAAATTTGAGTTCTTTTGAATAACAGTATTAAGTTTTGTTTGATGATGATCTGCCTTCCGTTTTCTAAGTACTTGCTATTTTATCAACCTTTACAGGCATTGCAACTGGGACAAGATGCGAATTCTCCATATGGAGTTTTCAATGGACAGAGATGTCAGATGTGCTTGCCATCTGATCCTCTGCATAAAGTGATGGAACGGTTATCAAATCCCAGTATATTCAAAATATCATCTACATTTTCTGTTTTATGTTTTCGCATCATTTGACTTCTTGTCCTTGGAACTTGGACGGCATCCTAGTACTCTAGTGTGGGCCTCTAGCTATGCCAAAAGCGAGAGAAACTCCATTCAAGTTGTTCTGACCTAGGATAATAAGCGAAGGAGCTTAGTCTTCACTGTAGAGAAACAAAAGAAGACTTCCATCTTCAAGTTTAACTCAGACGTAGCTCACAAGTCACGATTCTCAATTAATTGCATTCTTGCTTTGCAGGGGTTAGGAGGCTTGTGATTGTAGAGGCTGGGAGCAAGCGTGTAGAAGGGATTGTTTCATTGAGTGATGTGTTCAGGTTCTTGCTAGGTTTAGCTTAATTATGGAGGCCACAATTGCCAAAAGAAAGGTATTTGGTGGTAGGCATTGGAGGAAACCCGTTTCATTGGTGAGTATTCTTTCTCACTATTCTCTTCCTCTAGCATTCTGAATGGACCTCATTTGATGATCCAATGTCTTCATTGGATGGTGTACCTTTGTAGAATAGATATTACTAAAGAGGAAATATATATATATATATATATATATTTGTACATTGTGAGGACAAATTTTTTTCCTGTTTCTTAACCAAAATTAATATCAATCCCACCATGGTGCTGCGCGGCTGCCATTTTGATATAATATCATGTGCTAACATAGTGAGAGAAAAGAAGGGAATGTGGCACCACATGCTGTTGGTGGTCCGTACGTAAAAAAGTGGATTGTAAGTTAAGAGATTTTCAGTTACTGATATTGCTTTCGTTTTCCATTTTCGTTGTAGCATCTTTTTATTGTGTACCTTGTATCACCAAGAAAAATCACAATTTAGTTTTTGGGTTTTGTTTCTTCTATTTAGTTTACATGGCTTGTTTCTATATCATGTTCAATCTTCAGTCCCGTTCATTTCGCTAGTTCGAATTACAACTTAAATTTTTGTTACAGTGTTTTTCTCACAAAAATTTAAATTTAACTTTTTTTTTGCTACAGTGTTATCTCTCACATGAAATCACTTTTTAATTCAAGTGTTCAACTTTTTTTTTTTTTTTTGCTACAATATTATCTCTCACGTGATATTACTTTCTAACTCAAAAACTTGAATAAACGAACGGGGTCGTGGTCATAACAAGTGGTATATCTTCATGCTCATAACAAGCGGTTCATGCTATAGATGATGTCGGATACGTATATTTCCTGGTAACAAATTTACCAAGGTGAGGGAGTTGGATTTGTGATAGGTAATCCCATGCAATTAAGGAAATAGGGATCCTTTTCTTCGTATACGAAGAAATTAAGTAAAAAATATAGGAGGGTTAATCTTACAAATACTTTTTATCTTTAATCTCTGATTTTTTAATACGTTCAGTTAGGTCTCTGAGGCTTTATTTTATTTCAGTTACATTCCTTTTGTTAGTTAAGTGTTAAATACTGAACGGAATCTATGAAAATTAAGGACCAAAATTGAAAACATCTAAAGTTGACTAAAATAATATAAAAATAAAAGTTAATTTCCCCATATAGTATTTAAATTTTAACTATTTTCAATTTTAGTTCTTAATTTACATCAATTCCATCCAATATTTAACCTCAGTTAACGGAAGGATTGAATTGAAACGGAATAAAATTTTAGGGACCAACTATTAGACATTTTAAAAGTCAGAGACTAAAGTGAGATTGCATGTACACTTTAAGGATTAATGACCATTTGTCGAATTGACTCGTATAGGAAAATTTTTTGCTTGTTTGGTTCATAGGTTTGCTTAGAAATTCAAATTTTTTGAGAGAATACTGTAGTAAAGAGGTTTAAATTGTGGTATAAATTTTATAAGAATGGGATAATTTGTCATCTATTTAATCATGTATTCACTTACATATTAATTCATTAAAGCTAGCCATTTTTGGCCTGGTAATGGTATATGTGGTTTGAACGCAATGCCTAGGCTCATGGTAAGCAGACACATTCTTCCGGTTATATTGTGAAGAACGCAGCGGCTCTTTTGTAGGTACGCTCAAATTTCTTTTCGCTAAGGAGGTAAGCTCAAAGGTTGTTCATAGTACAACGGGATTGTTGGAATACCATTGGTGCTGTTCGGCTCAAAATGACCGCCGATGCAACACTTATAAATGATTATTTTGTGAAATATAGAGATGAATCTTCATCACTCACAAAAAAAGTGAATTTCACTAGATTGGATCCCGCGTGCCTATTTAGTGAGGCTCACCTAATGTCAGTAGAGGGGTCTTATTTTGTGGTAGAGTACTGTGATAAGAGACGAAGGATATGTCTGGAGCTCTGGGCAACGTCTCTGACCTTGCTGCAGAGAACTGATATCAATCAAGGGAGGTTTGAAATTGGTTAGATAATGGATTTATGCTGTTGAGTGATTGTGAAGAGCTGTTTGGGACGGTCTGACAAATTGAAGCAGATGTATTGTCTCTGAATTTGGTTAGCCATGTCTGTTGATTCCAAGAGTGAGGACAGCTTTTGGATAGAGGAATGTCCCATTTGTATTCTCTCAATGTAATCAATTATTAAATGAATAGTAAAATGTATAAAATTATGCGGAGTACCCACTACCTAATGCAAAATAATCTGATATCATTGGTAATGAATAACATTTCCACTACTTCAAAGCAAACGAGTAAACTACTTTTAAGGAACAGTAGATAACAACACATTCCGTCAAAATTGCTACAAGTCAAAATTTATTTCTGAGCATACTGACCACTACAGATCAGAATAATCTAAATACAACACGGAAAATTACAATTACGTCGGAACCAGTTTGATGGCCGTTTCCTGTTTGCCTAACGCACAAATAAATTACAACTTAAAAATGCGGGATTGGAGCTTCCAAGTTGAGACTGATCAAGGTTCCACCAGTATATTTGCATGAACTTGCTTTCAAGTTCTACTAGTCTTAACAAGAACCTCTCATTAATCATGTTCGATCGGCCCAATTACGTCATGTAATTGCTAGTTAGTTCGTGCTCGATTTAGAATAGCTTTTGAGAGTAAGCTGATTCCCGAGAATGAAAGGAAGCAAGCACATCATACTCAAGTTGGCACAAGTGCTAATATTTGGGTCTTGATTCTACCCATGTACGTTTGTATTTCTCTGTATATTTGAAGATTTTGTGGACAGCACGGATGCAAACTTGTGACCGCGGAATCTAATATCTGAGCCACGTCCGCTGGAGGATATTGCCGTTCAGTACATGTCTGCATATCAGAAGTACCAAACATCAATCATAACAAGATACATTAAGAACAAAATTTCTCCTCTACACATTTGAACCGTTTTAGGCTTCATCAGGTTTTACAGTCCTTAGAAAGTTCAAGTTACTTTTATCATATCTTAATTCTGACATGAAAATGTTAGCAAAGGATTAGAAACGAGATAAATAAGTGCTTGCATGCAAGCCAAATCCAGTAAAAGTTGAATCACAATCTAGGTGTGTAGCAGAAATCACCTAACAAATATCAGAGGGACACAATGTGTGCGCATGTGTTTTGTGTTGCGTAATATACATATATGGGCTTTAAAGTCTAGAATGTCTTGAATTACCTGTATCATAAGCAAAGTAGCAACACACGATGTAATGACCTCTGACGGGACTTGTGCCTCATTTTTTTCAGAATCCGTACGTGAATTCAGAGCAGATGAATCAACAGCGTGGACTGGCTCAGATGTAGAAGAAAGCTGCTGATTGCGATGCCCCAAATTGCCATTGACCTGGTCCTGTGTCCTATTCATTGATACTCTGGAATCTGATGTCAATGAGTTGTCCATAGAGTCTAGGGCTTCCCTAATCTTTGCATAAGCATCTTCTCCCTCCCCTCTTGATGAAAATGCCTGTAAGTTTTACTGTATTAGATTCACACCCTTCTTCATGCTATAAGTGAAAAGAGGGGGGCAGCCCGAACATACAAGCATAAACATATAAAGTACCGAAAGAAAAGAGAACAATTGATTGGACTTCTTGGGTTTATTTTTTGGCTGATGGATTGGACTTCTAGGTCAGTATGAAGTTGACACCGCATTGGATGACTTTATTTATGAAGTATAAACTTTTCTAAAACTCTTGAAGAACTGAGGAAAGCAAACCTGGAACAGCAACATCTTATATCATTTCTTAACCCAACGTAGAGAACCATAAATGTACTATATACTTATATTAAGGGGTGTCAACAAATTGTTAGTTGGAAGAATTACAAACATAAACCTTGTTTTACTCTTGTAGTCTTAGACAATCCACCATCGGCTTCTGAAAGTTACAATTAAATTGAGCAAAGTTTAAGATTGAGTAGTAAACTATTTTTTTCAAAAAAAAAAAAGTATATGTATATATATATATATATATATTTTTTTTTTTTAAATGTCGCATGGGTCTTATGCTCGTGTTTAGTTTCTGGTTGGTATTGGGTATTTGATTATGATTAAGAACATCTACAACATCATACCATGTTTGAAAACACATTTTAGCAGGTAAATTGGGGGATTGAAAATATTTACCTCTTTTTTTTTTTCTTTTTTTTTTGGTGGTGAATGGGTCAAAAGGGCAAAATTGAAACCCATATATCTAATCCCGGTGGTGGAGTTGTAGCTTTCAAGATTAGAAGGCAGATTTTTTAAAAAAGTAAAAACTACGAGGCATAGTATTGTAATCATCCCATTGTTAGTTCACCAACCACACTACAAGCTCGATATCCAGAAGAACAATTTAAGAACAAAAACAATAATAAATAAATAATTGAAATGTTGAAACACAAAAAGTGCACACAGAGAAAAGGACGGACGGCCTTCAAACCTGAATAGCAGCATCAACCATCGCTTGTGCTTTAACTGTTGATCCTTTAACAATTTCAATGACGCTAGATCCTGAATCTTGAGGAATGGAAAAACTATCAAGTGAACCTGGAAGGACACTGTGGACACCGATATTGGCAGGGGCCTTCAGCCAAGGGAGCAAAGCATTTCCACGGTAACTATTACGTTGCCTCAAATCAAGCAAAGCTGAAGAAACCTGCATTGAGAACAATTAATTAGATCATGTGCAGACAGGATAGATATATTAATAAAAACATTATTAGATAAGGATATATAGTGATGGAAGCCACATGCCTGGTCACTGGCTTCCTTTAGCTGTACAAGTACCGTTGCATAATGCTTCTTAAAAGGTTCAGAGTTTTTTAAAGAGTAGTCTCCACTATTCTGGTTCTCCAATATTTCATTATTTGTTTTTCTAAGCTCCATCAACAATGCTTCCTATAAGACCAAAACAAAAGGCAATGTTAGAAAAAAAATGTTAACCACAAATAATGAGTGCGTAATATTAAGCAAGATCATAAAAGTGCATGATACAACACTACGTATGATCATTGATAAACAAAACGCTGAACTGGCAGATCCAGATACCATAAAGGATGACCAAGTATGGAGGCTAATGATTATAATTTTACGATGTCAAATTGAAAGATAATGCTGGAGTTTAAGTTGCTGCAGAATCACCAAATCCATAATAAGGAAAATTTAAACCTATAGATGACTTGGAGATGGACATGTTCTCGTTTTAGGCTTAACAGATGACAAATACTAGAAAATACGTCGCTGCAGATTTACCTAACAAGAATCTGAGAAGACGAGAAAAAAAGATTCCAAGAAGGCACAAATCCATGAGAAATGAAATAGCAGAATCTTCAACCCCCATACCAATTAAAATAAATCCTAAATGAGCTAATGTAATCAAACGATCAACGGAATGGATACTAGATTTTAACCTTTTTGTCAAGGGCACGGGTCAGCTCATAAATAGCTCGTATATCAGCTTCCCGTGCTTGGTTATTTGCCACAGCAAAAGACTGACTATAGGCTATTGGTTGTGTGCTCACAATATCGACCGCTGCTGCCTTCAATTGTGAAATGGCATGGGTTGCATCTCCCTGGACAAAATATATTTAGCGTAAATTATGTTAATTCATCATAACAACAGGTATTCTAATTTTGTAGATAAACTGATGCGTTGCAATTGAAAGAACCAGAACTAGGCTGTAGGTACATCTTTTTTGTTTTTGAAACAAGAACTGTCTATTCATGATAAAAATTACATAAAAACTAAAAGAGGAAGAGTTACCCTCAAGGCATAAAACATAAACTAAGGTCTAAGCTACAAAAAAGGGGCCCAGCTCCAAACCAAATCAGAAACAAAAAGCTAGTTAAACTCCTTGTCTTGCTGGACGGTGGACCCAAATAGCAATGAAGAAAACAGAAAAAAGGCTTAACCCTTCTTTCCCCTCTTTTCTTTATATTTAAGAACTCGTTTATCTGTGGAGAGCATTAAAAACATGATTATTCATTAGGTGGGTGACTTTAGCAAATGAACCCCAGATCATGTGTGAGCAAATGACAGACAGACAGCTTAATGTAGAACACATTTGATTCCAAAATAAAAATGTAAAAGGTCAGCATATAAAGAAAGGACAAGTGAACCTCGAACGATAAAGATTTTTTTTTTTTTTTTTTTGGCTGGGGCTAAGCAAAGTTCTTTCAAGTAAAAAAGAAATGAACTGAGATATTTATTAGGCAAAAATGAATTGAAATATTTAGTAGGCATTCCGACCTTTCCATGCTTTCCCAAGGTATTCATGGGTCTCTGTGCTTTCTCCGGATGCCCACCTGAAGCAAACATCATGGGCCCTCCAAAGTTAAGATTGCCATTCATTTGTGGCTCATTAGATATAAAGGGAAATTTGTGGCCACCAATATTCTGTCGCCTTAGAGTTTCTGGCATATTTTCCAATGGGTTTAAAGGCATGCAATCCACATCCTACAAGGAAAATTTTCTCATGTTACTCCCAAAAGAGAGAAATGGTACTGCTATTACAACGAAAGTTATTACCACTAGAAACGTTCTTTGCTAGAAAAAGAGAAAATGGTAAATCAAATATGACAAAAAAAAAAAGAAACAGATTGTTAGATACCATCTCTAGAGGACCTCACAGAAGAATACCATTAGAAAGTACCTTCAACTGAAAATCAAACATAAATGTTCAAGTCCTTCCATTCTACAACTATAAAAAATAAAACAACATCTCCACATCTGATAGAAATGGTAACTTTCATCATTTCAGAAAAGTAAGATGTTTTATTTAACATAAATTTCTCTGTTCTTTGTATCAATTTCAACTTATCAGCTGTCAGCTAATGGAAACTCACAATTAAGTCCTTAAACCATCTCCAAAAGTGACTTGAGGGACATTATATGCAAAATCTCTAAATACAAGTTCAAGAGATGTTAGCCAAAAAAAGGGCAGTACCATGACAAATTCAACGCCTATCTCAGGACGGTCAAATTGAACCCTGCACCTATCATGATCGACTGTAAGCACACTTCCATCATGAATTTCTCTTGTTCTGGGATGAAGAGCAATGACTCGTTGTCCAACTGTCAAAGGTCTTGCTAAATCTGTGGGGAGACCTTCTCTCACACCAGTACGAAGTTCGGTATAATGTTCTCTTACAGATTCTCGATATTGTTTAAGTTTCTCCCTTTCTTCATGAAGAAAATGTTCAGAAAACCTCCGGGGTTTACCAAGGGAACTGCATTAACAAGCAACTCTGATTTCATTTTCATACATGTTTTCTTAATAGTTTCACTCAAAACAGAAAAAGATGCATAAAAAGAGAAAAGTGTACCTTCTAATTACACCCCACTCAACACGAGTTAGCCTTGGGATGTGCCCCAATCCAACATGGTTTAAGTACTCCTCAAACTCCCTCTTGGCAAACCAAGGGTAATCTATTGCACTATAAAACCACTCAAATGCGACCCATCTACGCACCAAATATGATGATAGGCAACAAGAAAGCTTTTCCTACAAATCAGAAGTGAAAAGCATGAGTTGGTTCTGAATTTAATTAAGTTACAAGATATAAAAAAGACAAAACGAAAGGTTTGATTTACCTTTGTTGAAGTGGAATGCTTGTTGACCTTCCCTTTTACTCTATGCTCAGAAAACTTGATCTCCTTGGGGAAAAATGTTTGGGGTATATACATTTTTCGTCTACTTTTTTGTTTGATCGGTAAGTTAACTTTGCTTGCAGTAGGAACTTGGATAGATGATACCAAAGGATCAGTTCTAGTTCCAGTTCTTATGTAATCGCTATTTAAAGAACCTTCAGCTGACGATCTAACGGATTTCCATTGCTTGGAAGGAGTAGAGGATTGGCTACTGCGTTTTCCCTTAATCACTGGTTTACTCTCTTCTTCACAAGTGACCTACAACACACGGATCACAAAACAGGAGATGAAAATCACAATAGTTTCCCAATGAGAAATGCAGAGAATCACTAGCCTTTAGATTAGTGAAATTTCAATAGAAAAACATATAAGATATCAGGATACTTAATCATATATAGAACCAGCATAGGTTTTCATTTATTTATTTTTTTTTTCGACATTCCACCAGCATATGTTTGTCTATGTGTGTTGCATACGTTTATGCTAAATTCACTTAGAAAAAAAAAAAAAAAAAACTTTTATCACAAAAAACATTGAAAGAGTAATTTCATTGACTTTCCACAAATTACTACAACTAATCATTCTAAAGTACGAATACAACAAAGTATCTACACTTCTAGAAAAAGCTAAATACCTCAGTCTTTACAGCTTCACTCGCACGAGAATCCAAATGAGCTTCAGCACTTGATACCTGTAACTTGAACAAGAAATGGCTTTAACATCAGGTTGACTAATAAATTGGAAATTAACTTATACGATACAGATGCTAAACAGATGAAGATGAAAATACTATGTTACAAAGAGAAACCATTTATTGTTCACCTTTGGTACCAAGGACTTGCGCTTCCTTTTCCATGCTTTGGCGTCAGAACGAGGCTGTTGTTCCAATGTTGATATAGTATTAATATCAACTTTTGAGTCCCTTCCAAGTTTGGATTTTTTGGAACTGGTACCCTCAACTCCAGAAATTGCATAGGTTCCCTTTTGTTTTGCAGACAAGAGTTTATTTCTGCTTCTAACTTGGCTTGTAGATGTGTCTTCAGGTAGACTGAATTTATCTTTCACATCAAGAGTTGTTTTTTCTTCCTTCAACTGAACAGATGATTCTAAATCCAACAGATTATGATAGAAATGAGAAACCACTCAAATAAAATAAGGAGATAATTATTTAAACAGACGGAGGAAGGTTCAAATATCAAAAAAGCTGCAGTAAACCTATCAAAAAAGCTGCAGTAAACCTATCAAAAAAGCTGCAGTAAACCAACAACAATCTACTCTAAATTTAACAGTAATTTAAACGTTACAGACATTCTTACACCACATTCAACAAAATCATTTTTCTTGAACCATCCTCTAAAAGGTTGAAAAATAAATTAATGTAAGACCAATATAAGACTAAAATGTTACGTGGCAAACAAAAATTAAAAACCAACAAGTTTAGGCAAAAACTGCTTACCAGATTCCATTGTGCATGGTGGCATCATCAGTGACAAATCAGCCAGTGCTTGCAAAGCATCAAATTCAGAGCTTTCATCTGCAAAATTAACAATCAAAAGACTCAATTTGTTACAAGAGATAAATTTTGAAAACCTGAACCAGAGGACAATTGGATAACTGATAGCAAACCAGTAGCTGGAAAATACGGCAACAGATCATGGTGTTAAGGGTAAAAGGTTTTCGCTATGTATTGCATGTGTGTGGACACGCACGCATGTGAGCCTGTATGCACTATACAAACATGGATTTGTATTTATATCTAGAGTTATCATTTGTAGTATGAAAAGATTAAAATCTTTCTTTCAGAAAAAAACTTGGACGAAATCTTTTCTCAATCTTTTCTTGTTTAGTTTATGGCTTTATGCTTCTTCTTCTTCCTTTTTAATTCTTTTTCTCTTTGGATATATTATTTAGTGCAATATTTGGAACCAGAAAAGAATATCATTTTGTTTTACAACAATATATATATATATATGTATATATATGGGAGTTTGGGGAGGGGTTGTACCTCCGAAAAATAGTTTCTTGCTTCTCTTTCGTTGAACTTGTGGGGAAACTCGCTCAGCTTTTATGTTTGAAACTTCAGCGTCAGCTTTTCCTTTCAGACTGCTGACATTAACCCCCTCTTCTGTCCCACTACATGCCTCTCCACCATCATCGTCTTCAACTTTCTCTTTCTTTCTGTAAAACTTCTTCCCCTTCCGATGAACCTCAACTGTACCGACACCTTCCATATCCACCAAGGAGCTAGTATCTTTTGCATAATCTCCATTTTCAGCTCCCCTACTTCCAACACTACCTTCTAACTCAGATTGTGGATGCTATATCACATAAACAAGAAAAAAGTCGAATTATAAGGATAAAAAAAGCAGTGGCTGAAAATAATATAGTTGTTGCACATGATCACTAATTTTTCCCAGCTCAGAGCAGGAGAGGAGCTCACGTGTTCTTGTCTTTTGTATGGTGTGGAAACTTGAGGAGAACCTACTCTTTGAGCAGCCTCAGTCAACGCCAGTGCTGCCACATGTAAAACATCGTCCTCATTATCATGATCTGACTTTCGATTCCTCTTAAGTGGTGAATCATAATTTTCCCCAAAATCTTTCTTATGAGAATATGATACAGGGAAACGTGGTGTCCTCTTCCCAACTGCGCGAGGCTGACTACCTGATACGAAGCACAACAACATAACTCCAGTATCATATGTAAATGATTAAGTTAGTAGAACAAATTTACTTAAGAAATTAGCATTCCGCTAAGTTAAACTTTGCAAGCAGATATCCAAATTAGAGTGTCCATGCATGTATGGACATGATCAACATCCACAGAAAAATAAAATAGCAACAATGCAACGAAAAGCTACTTGCATAGTAATATCATGCCACATTAATTAAAATGTCATGTCAATTAAAATATCACGCCACATTAGCTAAAAGGTCATCTCATTTAAAATATTTTAATAGACGTCTATGATATTACTGGGGGCATGAAAGGAACCAGAAAAAGGGGACATGTGAGCCGAATACATATTTCGGGGGGATATTTCAGAAAGTACCACTGTACATGTTCAAAGAGAAGCAGCAACAGCTAATCTAATAACTCGTGCATGGAAAGCCGTTAAAAGTCATCCCAACAAAGGAAAACCAACAAGAACAAAGATATGAAATGCCAAAAAGGAAAGAAAAAATAAAGGAAGACCATCAAGAAAAATAACTTTTAAAATCAATTTGCAACATCCCTTACCTTGTTCTCTGTCTATAAAAATTTTTAGATATTTTCTTAGTTTCCTCACTTCTTTTTAGTCTTTACAAATTTTAGTTCCAATACAGCAAAAGATTTAGAAGCCCATTATATTAAAACCTAGCTAGACAAATATGCCAGCTCTAATTACTTTCTTTTCTTTTTTTTCCGTCTCTCTTTAAGGTTTCAACCTAATTTTGTACATCCTTTACATTTACGCATTTTAAGGGAAAAAACTACAATTGATCAGTACGAGGAATAACTTGAAATTGATCAAAATAGCGTAGCAAAATGCTTGATAACCCATGGATTAAAAAAACGTATGCCTCGAACGCCTCGAGGCGCTCACTTAAGGATTCGTTTTGATGGCCTCCAATGAGGCTTACGCCTTTTTCATTTGAGGTGTACGCCTTGAGGCGCGTCTGAGGCTTAAGCCTCATTTAAACAGGCAATTAGGCCTGATTTTTTTAAAATTGCAGGGCGTTTTTTTCCTTTGATAGTCAGCCCATCTGCAAAGTTTCAGCCCAATAGAAGAGAGAGAAACAAAAATAACGCTCTGAAACCCTATCTTCTGTACCATAGGCCAAATCCTAAACACCCAGCACCCAAAATCTCGACCTCTTCTCCCCTATCTTCTAGATCTCCGACGACTTGAGCAGCGACGACCGGAGCAGCGGCAGTCCGGTGACTAGTCAGCAGTAGTCCAGAAACCTTACTCTGCTATAAGCTCTTTTGGTCTTGGTTTTAACTTTTATTTTATTTTTTCTTTATAGGCAATGCTTTTAGTTTTTTATTTTTTCTATGTTATATTAATATTATATAACATAATTATTTGGTTATTTGGTAAAGATAAAACTTCATTGAAACAAAGAAAAAGTACAAAAGCAAGTTTGAGATGGACAAAAAATCCATAAAACTTCATTCGGTTATGTTATGTTATACATCATTATTATAAAGTATATAACTATATGTACTATATCGTATACTTATGCTGTTTAGTTTGTAATTTCTGGTTTTTTTTATATTTTTAATTAGTTATCTATATTATCAAAAACAAAATTAGCTATTTATAATTGCTGATTAGTTAGTTTTAACAAGACTTAAATTGCTATGTTTAGTTTCGTTTAGAGTGTTAGACTAAGACTCGAGGATTAAAGATGTATTAAAAAGAAAAAAGAAAAAAAAAAGAAAAAAGACTAAGACTCAAGGATTAAAGTTGTATTAAAAAGAAAAAAATGAGTGTTAGACTGAGACTAAGACTTACCACATTTCTCACTTCTAGACTTTATGCATTATTTTATGTGTTTTTGTAGCCGAGTATGGAATAATTGTGGGGGAAAGTTATTAGTTGACTTTGAATGATTTCCCTAAAGTTTTGGGATAGGTGATTAGGCAGGATCCCTCTTTTTTTATTTATTTCCTTATTTATCTTGTTTCCTTTTTTTGTTGTTCCCTAGCTTATCTATATAGGAGGCCGGTGTACATGCCTAGGAATAGAACTATAATTTTCATTCTTCTAGCAGTGTTTGTTCCCTAGTGCTATTTCCTCGGGTTCTTGATATATGGTATCAGAGCCGGTTAAGTCTGGACATTCTTGAACTCCAAGTTGTAGATGGCAGCGTATAAGAGGGCTTTGACTGCAGCAAGCGGAGGCGATGTCCCTAAGGAAAGTTTCAACACCTCACGAACTACCTCCACAATTGCTCCCACTGCTATTTCTCAACCCACTTCCATGAACCCCGAAAGTTCTAACCATATATCTCTACAAATTGCCACCCACAAATTAAATGGAAAGAATTTTCTTAAGTGGTCTCGTTCAGTGTTGATGGTTTTACGGGGAAAAGGAAGATTGGGCTATTTGGATGGTTCAATTCCGTAGCTCAAAATTGAAGACCCTTCTTATGCGAATTGGGAACCTCAAAACTCCATGGTGATGGCGTGGTTGATTCACTCGATGGACAACATTGCAGATACCTACATATTGTTTCCCACGGCAAAAAAAAATCGGGGATGCTGTAAACTTGGCCTATTCTAATTTAGAGAATGCCTCACAGATGTTCGAATTGAGAAACAAGGTGAGAAATCTGAAGCAGGGGGAGAGTGATGTTACACAATATCATGAGCTGGCAAGACTTTGGCAAGAATTGGATCTCTTCTCATCTCCATCTTGGAAAGACCCCGAAAATGCAGTCTTGTATAGAAGGATGATAGATCAGAACCGGATATATGATTTTTTTGCAGGACTTAATAAAGACTTGGATGAAGTCCGTGGCCGATTGCTAGGAATGAGACCTCTGTCCCAAATTGAAGAAATTTTGGCTGAGGTGCGTAGAGAAGAAACAAGAAAGAAGGTCATGCTTGGAGGAAATATGCAAAATTTAGAGAGCTATGTACTTGTTGTTCATGAACGTGTACAGGAGAATCTGGAGGAAGGAAAAAATAACAAGAAGTGGTGCGAACATTGCAAGAAACCTTATCATACCAAGGAGACTTGCTGGAAACTACATGACAAACCGACCAACTGGACACCTCGGAACCGTGGACGTGAAGGAAAGGGATTTCAGGCAGCAGCCGAGAAAACTGATGAAGAATGAATTCCTCCAGCCACTGCAGCACCGGTTTTCTCCAAGGAACAGTTGGAACAATTAAGGCAGAAGATGATGACACAATCATCTTCCCACTCATCATCTCTCTTGGCTCAAAGAGGTAAAGCATTAACTGTTTTTTGTGGCTTGGCAAAAAAAAGAACCATGGATTATTGACTCAGGAGCAACGGACCACATGACTGGTTATGAATAACTTTACACCACATATATTCCCAGCGCTGGAAACCGCAAAGTGCAGATTGCTGATGGGACCTCCTCTGTAGTGGCTAGTATTGGGACTATAAGAATTGGACCTAGTGTCACGTTAAAAGGGGTTCTCCATGTGCCGAATCTAAGTTTTAATATTTTGTCCATAAGTAAGATAACCAAAGACTTAGACTGTGAAGTAATTTTTCTGCCGTCTGTTTGTATCTTTCAGGACAGATTATCGGGGAAGAGGATTTGCAGTGCGGAGGAGCTGGATGGCCTATACTACTTTAAGGATGATTCTGGCGTTAATGGGAAAGCTCAAATGGTTACAAGCAAATCTATATCTAGAACTCAAAAAGTTATGTTATTGCATTATAGATTAGGACATCCTAGTTTCTCTTATTTGAAGTTTTTGTTTCCATCTTTGTTCAAGAATAATGAAAAATTTCAATGTGAAGTTTGTCAATTAGCAAAGCACACTCGTGTTCACCTCTCATACCATGCATCAAAACCATTCATCATTATTCATAGTGATATTTGGGGACCTTCTCGTATTTCAAGTCTCACCAACAAAAAATGGTTCATAACCTTCACCGATGACCACACACATGTTTTCAAAGAATTTCATTCAATGATTAAAACACAATTTGATGAGAATATTAAATTCTTGAGAACTAATAATGGCACCGAATTTTTCAATGCTATGTTAGGGGAATTTGTGAGAAATAATGGAATTATCCATCAAAGCTCATGTGTTGATACACCACAACAAAATGAAGTGGCCAAAAGAAAAAATCGTCATCTTTCAGAAGTTGTCCAGTCATTACTGCTTACAGCAAATCTTCCTAAACGTTTTTGGGGTGACGCAGTTCTAACTGCAACATACTTGGTAAATAGGGTACCCTCTCGAGTTCTCAAATTTCAAACACCGATAGAATGCCTATACAAATCCTACCCAGAGGCTCGTGTTCCATTTTCTCTAGAGTTAAAAGTGTTTGGTTGTGTTGCCTTTGTCCATAACCTTGATCCTAACCGAGGGAAAATAGACCCTAGAGCTCATAAATGTATTTTTTTAGGGTATTCTGCAACTAAAAAGGGCTATAAGTGCTGCTCCATAGAAAAGAGGAAGTACTTTGTGTCTAGGGATGTCACCTTCTTTGAAGATCAACCTGCGTTTACCAAAAATTTCCTTCAAGGGGAGAAAATATGGGAAGAAAATTTTTGGGAGAAGTCAAAATATCATGTAGTTCCAAGCTCCGAATCTTTGGACCTTAAGTCATCGGAATTTTTTTGGGATTTTGCTCCTCCTCCAGAAATTACAAACTGTGAACCTAGGGATTCTAGTCTTAATGAAACATCCCCTGAAGTCGAGAATCATGGTAAAAAGTTTGAAAATATTCCTGGCTTAAATCAAACAAATCCACCTGTTATAGAGCCTGAAAATTTCCCGACCACTACCATAGAAAATTCCACTAAAATTCCGGATAATGTTCAGTCAAATCTACCCGTACTCAAACCACCTGGCTATGATCAACCACACACCATCACAGAACAGGTAGATAATCCTTCACAGCCTGACAATCCCACACAAGTTCAAAACCTTTGAGCACCAAAGTCTATAATGCAAGAATA